TGGGGAGGGGGGGAGAGCAATGGGTGTCGGGGTTGGGGGCTTAACCTGAACAATGGTAATAGAGAGGTTGTTACACTGAGACAAATGTGTGGGACTGTCCTATTAGCGATGCACATTTCGCCTGTGTGTGGGTCATCCTGGCCCTATTCCGTCCGGTAAAAAGGCGTATATGTGGTACGTTCAGAATGTGCGTCACTTTTTGGACAATTTATTCCATTAATTTTTACGGGAGTAGAGCTAAAATTGGCCGCCAGTTCTGTAGATTTATGCTAATAATTTGAATGCAAAGAGAGCACCAAGTTGATTCACAATATCTTAAATGAAATCGTTTTCATTGAACGTTTTTATTGAACGTTTCATTTGAACATTTCCAGACAACGTTTTAATTGAACTTTTTCATTGGACGTTCTAATTGAACGTTTCCATTGAACGCTTTCATTGAACATATTCATTGAACGTTTCCATTGAACGTTTTTCTTGGACGTTTCCATTGAACGTTTTCATTGAACGTTTTTCTTGGACGTTTCCATTGAACGTTTTCATTGAACATTTTCATTGAACGTTTCCATTAAACGAATTCATTGAACGTTTGCATTGAACGTTTTCATTGGACGTTCCCATTGAACGTTTACATTGATTAACTATTAACATACGGTGGATTAACTTGGCATTTTATTTGTTTTCAATTTCTTGGTGACTTGCGATTTAACCAACTAATGATATCAGGACTTGTACATGTATTTTGTTGTCCATATTTATTCGTTGCTGTGTTATCATATCACATCACATTATTTGGTCAAATTGCTCAAATAGTGACTTACTTTTTGCATGTAGCTCTGATGCGTCACTGATACTGGGTCAAAATTACCTGGACTAGTGCAAAACATGCAATATTGTTCGGACAAAATTCCACTCATTACTCAGAGTGCTTATCTCAAATCCAGTCTCATCACTGAAAGATGATCATAGTATCTTAATGGGTAATTAAATATGCACCCGTGTACCTATCTATTTTATTGGTTATTATTTCATAAACTTTCATCGTAATTTGTTTCTTAACATTGATTGACACTGAATTCAGGGGGGAATTAGTTTAAATTAATATTCATGAATAATAATAAATAAATTAATTCAGGAGGAGAATTGATTTGAATGCCGAAGCGCTTCTTTTGCATTTTGTGGGTCATTTTGACTCAGTCTGGAGCTGCAAAAACAGTGTATCTGTGCTTCGAACTGATAGTGTGTCGCTTTTTGGACAATATGACCAACTTATTTTTTTGTGAGTAGGTGCAAGGTCTGTAGAGGATTAAATGCACAATTACACTCTCATTTCATTGAGTGCATCAATAGATAGTTTAATGTCATGTCAAACTACCGTAGAGTTGAGATGCTGATGGTTGTTAATAAATCGTATCTCCATCGTATTTGTACTTCCCCATCACTCCCCTCCCTCCCCCTTTTACGTACACCCCTACTCCCCCATATTTATAACTCATCCCCATATCATCCCCCATCCCTCCCTCTTCCTACTTGCCTCCCCCTCCCTGCCTCCCCCCTCCCTGCCTCCCCGTCCTACGTACACAACTTACTCCCCCAAATCTATACCTCATCCCCATATCATCCCCCCTCCCCCCGCGGGTGTTGACAAAGAACAAGACACTTGACGTGTCTTAACGACGTCGTCGGGGACGCGCACCCGATGCCTCCCCACCCCCTGGGGAGGGTGAGTGGGTGAGGCAAGAAATTGATCAAAATTGCCCTATTTTCATCCCCGGTTTCTTGCGATAAAGTGAAAAGTGAATGGAAATGATCTCTTGATTCTAATGGTGGTCGTAAGCTGAGCCATCGTTCGTATGAGCGGCGTTAACAACAACAACAATGAAAAAACGAGAACAACAACAATAATAATGAAAATAATGAGAACAACAACAAGAATGGAAATAACGAGAACAACAACAACAACAATAATAATAAAAAAAACGAGAACAACAACAATAGCAATGGTAATAACGAGAACAACAACAAAACAATGAAAATAACGAGAGCAACAACAAAAGACAACAACAACAAAGAAAACAACGAGAACAACAACAACAATAATGGAAATAACGAGAACAACAACAATAATGGAAATAACGGGAACAACAACAATAATGGAAATAACGAGAACAACAACAATAATTATATATACTTTACTCAATTAAACTAATTTAGGTCTCTAATTACTAGTTTCTATGATTTTATCTGAAATTGTTAGGCGAAAATAGCCTGCATGCCGAATTTCAGATCTCTAGAACAATCAGAAGTGGGCTAATTTTCGTTGTCAATGTTAACAACAAACAAACAAACAAACAAACAAACAAACGCGAAGCTAAGCTAAGAAAAACGTGTTAAAAATAGACAATGACAGCAGGAATAGGCAATTAACGACAACAATGCGGTTGCCACAAAAGCAAACAATTAAAAACAATAGTCGACAAGTTATGTACACAGCAAGACAGACACATAAACTATGACATAAACTAAAGTTGAAAAGTAAGACGCCAAAAACAACAACACCAGGCAGGCAATGTCAGGTTGAATCAACGTTGGAACAGCGCAGGGTAACATGGGGCAGCGAGCCCACTGCGGGTCACGGGCCCATAGCGGGTTTCTCGCTAAGTATGGCAGATATTGGTCCGTGTTCTCTACCGCCGGTCGACAGTTTCACTGGGATGAAGTGTACGGATTTTCGTTTTGCTAAGTGTTTGCGTTGTTAAGTTATTTGTGAATAACTGTTTTAGTCCAGATAAAAATTTTTATGCTGTTAAATAAAACTGTTTTCGATTACTGTAGATGAAGCTTTTGAAATTACTGTGAATTACATTTGGAAAGTAATATTTATAGGGATAATTTTGACAGATCAAGTTTAGACTATTAGCTTTTAAAATAAAATGTTGACACGATATAAATTGAAATGATACCTAGTGGGGCAACGGGCCCACGCGTTTTACGGGGCAAAGCGCCCATGGTGAAGTCTTGCGTTATACATCATTAGATTTGTCTCAATGACCTTTTCAAAACTATGACTAGCTTTTTGAATTACAAATTACACTTCATATTGCATGATTTTATGATTTGCCGCCCCAAGGCAGCAGGTTTAGTTTCTAGTTATGAGTATTTATGACCACTTTTCGAGTTATTGACTCTTGCCTTGCCAAAAGTTGATTTCAGCCAACACCAATGAGCCATAAGTTGATGAGTTTTTATGGTGTTGGCTGAAATCACGATTAGGTACAAATTCTCTGCACATAATATCTGGATTGTGGACGAAACTGGAACGAAGTTTTTTTTGATCAACTAAATATATTTTTTCTAGTTAAGGATCCATTTTTTTATGTCAAGGACGAATTTTTTATCACAAAGATATATTTTTCAAGTCAAGGATATATACTTTTAGGTCAATGAAATATTTTTATTCACGTCAGTGATAGATTTTTTAAGCCAAGAGTATATTTTTCATGTTAAGGAAATGATTTTTTGAGTTGTCAATAAATGAATGAATGTCATATTTTTTATAACATTTTTCTTATTTTTAACTGTAAAGTGTTGTTTCATCATTTTTAAACGAAAAATATGCAATTGTGGTGAAGGGACCAAGGGTGGGCGCCTTGCCCCAAGCACATGGGCCCATTGCCCCAGGGATGGGGCAATGGGCCCATTTTGACACTTTTTACAAAATAGTGTTTCATTAAAAATTGAATAACTCTGTTGGCGTCTAATTCACATCATACATTCCTCATTAGTTGTACCTTTAAACAAAACAAAGAACCACCTCGTATCAATTAAAACTTCATTAAAATTTTAGTTTAAAAAAGGGGGCGCGCGCTGCCTTTTGTTGCCCTACTACGCGACGTTGAAACAATGTTGAATATAAGTCCAGAATGAAAGGTAAATTAACTTCATTTTTTCAACCTCGTGCATTTTGATGTTGTTTCAGCATTGAAATCTCGTTGAATTCTGATATTAAAAGCGCATTCATAAAATGTTTTATTTTGTTAATATGTTCTATCAAGAATGTCACAGTATTGACTCGATCTCCACATTGAATCAAGGCCGAAATGTATGACGCTGAAAATATGACGTTGATTCACTTTTCAATCTAGACTAACATTCGACGTTATTTCAACGCCGCGTAGTACGTTGTTTCAACATTGATTCAACCTGACATGGCCTGCTGGGCAATACCTTTAATTATTGTAGGCCTAATATGAAATCAAACACCATCAATTCCCCCAAATTAGTCCTGGCAACTATCGGTAATTCAAAAACAATGCCCTCAATAACTACGAAAGCAACTAAAACTAGATAGAAAACAGCAAGCAAGAAGCAGTCGATCAACGACAGGGACCGAGTTACGAACACAGCGGCGACAGGTCGTGTCAAGATTGAATTATTAATTCAACCATGGGTCGTGTCAAGCGTATCGTTGAGATATACGTGAGGAAATATATTGACAATTGTTAATTATTAAAAATGCTAAAGCATTGAAAACATTGAAATAATGATAATATTAAAACATTGAAAACAATAAGGACATAAAATTCTTTAAAATATTACAATATCATATATTGAAAATATTAATAAAAAATTGAATATATTGAAATAAATAAAATAAAGAAAAATATTGAATATATGATAAATTTTTTACATATCAGCGATAATAACAGAATCACGAGTCTCATAATAATTTTTTCGCATCGTGTTGATATGACGCGGACTCAAGCATTATAGAATATAACTAATTTTGGTACTGATGAGACTTGAATAAAATTTATTTACTGTAGATTTTTGTATGGTCCATAAAATTTTAAAATTAGGACTAAAAGAGAGAGATGAATTTTTGGCAGTGGAACTGAATACTTAGTACCGGATTTGTCGGTTGCATTGGCGTCAAGCGACAATTTTTTTCAGGGTAATTTTTAGGGAAATTAGTGTCTTTAACGGCAATTACCCTCAGCTAGGTCGATGTCAGTTGTAGATGCGGTGATGTAGTGTAAACAAGGTGCTGATTGTCAACGTCGTTTTGTTTTATACTTCTCAAGCTATGGAAACATCCGTAAAAAAACTCGAAATTCTGGTATGTGTAGCTTGACATTATTTTTTCCAGACGAGGTAGAACACAGATTAAAGCTGATATGCTCAGGGAGCCTTTGAGGATTTAAGGCTGTTTTCTTGTTTGAAGTTCTAAAGACTTAACTCCAAAGGCTGAACTTTTGAAGCACGTGTGGAAAATTTCTACCTTTCTAAGTTCCTATCTGTGACATCTAGAGCTTTTTTGCCATTATTGGAGCCTGGACAGGGTTGTTCATAAATGACTGATCTACAATCGAATTGTTTAAAATTTATCACAAAACTTGAGATGAAGAACTGCTTCCATTAATTATTTAATTCCACAGCTTTAACTTTTTTTTAATTACCTCAATCTAAAATTTATGAATTCAACCAACATTTGTAGCTTCTTTCCACAAAACCACTATGAAGAGTTTGGCTATTGTGATAAAAAAGCAGATTTAAGATATAAAACATTGAACATTCTAAGTATAATTAAGGATCTACAAATAAAACAACCAAAACAACTGCTTTAGCTACAAATACATGACATAGGCTTATGTATTTCAGTATTTGTTGGCTATAAATATAAAATACTTGGAAATACTGGTTTGATTTTATGTCTGAAAATACAATCTTGGCAAGCTTAGACCATGGTCAGGAAGATGTGCCAGGTGCGCGGGAATTTATTTTGTCATTTTAACGATCTGCGCGGTGCGCCGTACTACGTTGGTAAAAAAATGCGCCGTACACCGTACTTTAGAAAGCTATAATAGTTCTACTATTTTAGTCGACAATATACGCAAGTATATTGACTACGCGAGTCGAACTGACAATAATAAAATGCAAGACGTGTCCGGGTTACTTCTGACTCTTCCGCTTGTCCGCCTTGTCGGATATGGAACGTACGGTAATCGTAAACTGCGGCTGTTATACATACGAAATGTAAACAGACGGTATTCAGTGTTGCCATATGACTTTGGAGAAAATTTCTTCTAAAATAAAGATGGTCGGGATTGCGCGAACACGTGCGCAAAGATAATCAATTTTCATTACATTGTGCCAACTGTGCACAGCAATAGCTTAAAAAAAGTGAAAATGCACGGGAAAATTCACCGAAAACATACATCATCCTGAGTGTGGGCAAGCTAACTATTGAATTTGTTGACAGTGAAATTATTAAAGACTGTAGATGTCAAGATGTGTGGAACAAATGAGAAATAATTCACAAATAAAATATCCTACAGCATATTACATCTTTTCTCGATTTTTGTTGCCTCTTTGTTTGGAGTTTGCAATCCCTTGATTAGCGCGGTTAATAAATCCCCGAGTTTTACCGTGTTAAGCAAAATCGCGCTATTCAAACTTAAGAATATATGGGAATAATTATAATGAATCCTCAAAAATAGCAAAGGAAAGGAAAATTATGTAGTTTTATAAAAGTGAGCAGTAGATATGGCAGCAATCTTGACCAGTTGAAGGCTAACGAGTAACTAGCCCTCTACGCACTGAATTATGTTTCGAAAGTGAAAAAACAATCTGAATTACGTACTTTTCAGATCACGCGCAGTCTTTGTGTTAAACTGGCAGTAGCGACGCGCCTACTCCATCGAACGTCGTTCGAACGAGTTCACAACATGTGACGCTACCGTCACACTTGCGGCTAGACTCCAAACATGTAATTACTCTCGGTAGAAGCTTTTATTTTCTGTGTGACTAATTTGTTACACCAGGGCTTAAAGGGCTAGAGCACCGGCATGGCGCACTTATCGGCGAACGTTGCCGAACTCGATCATTCGAGTTATGAACGAGACAAGGCGTGGTTAAACCGACTCTGTAGTCAGCATGAGTGCCTACGGAACGGGACCTTATTTAAAGAATTATTGGCTGAAATTCATAAAGTAACAACATTTGGCGAATTTTTCCAAAAGTCGTAACAAAAGTAACAACATAAGATCTAATAAGCAAAAAGTAACACTTTTGTTACGAACGTAACACCTCTGGCTAGAGGCGGGGAAAATGAAGCGTTGTGAAAAAAAAGTCGCGCTAATCAAAACTGGCACCGCGTAGATTAAGGGTAGGTCGCAAATTTTTTTTCCGCGTTAATCAAAACCGTGGTATTCAAAACCGTGCTAATCAAGGGATTGCTGTATTGTCTCACACTAAGACTTGCATAGGTGTTTGATTGGGCAATATACATTAAATTGTTCTTTATTGTTTTTTATCAACATTTCTCTTTGACTTCATTCTTGTCGTTTGTTTGTCTGGCATTAAGTCAGAGACGATGCTTGAATCAATTGACAGAAAAAATAATTTTAAAAATTGTTTAAATATAAAAAATTCGGAAAATTTTTTTTTAAATATTCATAAACAAAATAAGAAATTCATTGTACAAGTGTAACATCAGAGACACTGGCCTCTTTAGAAGTGTTGTCTTTAAAAAGTAATTTTTAAACATATTTTTTCAGTTTGGAGAGGCCGAGCAGCAGTTGTCAGTTCTCTCAACCAAGGTTGATGCACAGTGCTGCCTGCTTGACCAGAGTTCTGTTTCTGCTGACACGTCTGATAACAATGTAAGTTGTTGGGGCAACCCTCAATTTCATGCCGAGGGTAAATTGTTCTGTTTGTATTGCAAATGAAAAAAGTTTCTAATCATAGAAAATGTAAAATGTATTTCTTTCATCAACACTTCTATTCTGAATGTATTCTTTTCACACTTCCAGTGAAAGTGTGAAAGGAATATATTCAGAATTCAGTGTGGAATTCTTGAGGGGTTTTAAACTCAAACAATATAGTATAGGTATTAAAAAGACCATTGCATAATCAATCACATTCTAGATAGGGAGACAACTCAACAAATCACAGGAGGAAAGTAAAAAGTATCCACCTAAAACTGAAAATAAATTTACGCACTATCCTAGAATTCTAGCCTGATATACACTTGACAACTTGATGCAGTGAGATGAGAGGAGCTAGTCATGGGTTTGATTTAGCCTAGTGAAGCTCAGCTCATTTAGTGGTGAAGTGTCACTGGTGGGCGGCATTTGGTGGCAATTAAAAAGGTGGTGCTTGCAGCATGGTCTCAGGTGTCATTAAATGAACTCTGGGTACTTGTTACCTGGGTGATCTTAAGGATGCTGTAAAGAATGTGCTCTTGCTTAACCTCGATTGTTGTTCACAGTCAAACGCAAGCCTCAAGAGCATCACTTCTGTGGTGGGCTGTGTCAAGGACCTGCGCTCTGAGCTCCTCAAAGTGGCAGCTGATGTGGCAACACTGCAAGAACAACAACAACAAGCAAGTGTTATGTACAGCAATATATGGGGATTGGGTACATGCTGTACATAAAAATCTTATTCTGACGATAATCTTCTTCAAATCTTATTGTTATATGTTTATCTGTGACAGAAAAAACTTATAATAAAGTTTACCTTTTGTTCAGCAGCTAAAATAATTCAATTTACAAGTATTCACTGCAATTCTAATAGCATAAAACATTCCATTACAACTGTCAACAACCTAAAAAATCTAGCAAAACTATCATATCAATAGGCAGCAAGTTCAAGTTGTGTGCTGCACCAACAACACACATATGCTGTCTGCCAGCATCACTGCAGTGCTGCAGCTAACAGTATTAGTTTGTATATTGGAATGTGTGAAGCAAACGCCATATTGATACATAGATGTGCTGCTGAAGCTACACGTGTGATATTGCTACTCTAAAGAGTCCACTGACAATTATTGTCCATAATAGTGTCCATAATTAATCATTATGGACACTTTTTTCTGTGCTAGGTCATTTAATGAATCACACAGAATTTAGTGTATGGAAAGTCATGAGTAAAATTTTGTTAGATGTTATAGTGTTGTCTTGTATAAGTCTTTATTCACTCAGCTCTAGTCATAGCATAAACTTTTTTGTGTTAAAATAAACCAGTCTAAAAAAATGCAATAAAACTAGTAATTAATAATTTAGATTGTTTCTAAATATTTTTGCTGATGCTGTGTTGTGGTGTGCAGGTCATGCAGAGCATCACAAGTGAGCTGCTGGCGCTCTCTGAGAACTACGCCTCCCTCCCCCATCTCATCTCCCGGCCCCCCGTCCACCCAACTGCTGGGGCTGAGTCCCCCCTTGACCCACTGTCTCCCCCACTGCTTAGACTGAGTCATTTTACTCATCTAATGCCATTGTATCACTTGAAGTGCTGTAGTATTTAAAGATTCTAGGATATAGAACAAAAAATAGGTCCTCAAGACTATGGTTTCAAGCAGTCAATGTTGGTCTTGCATGGAAAGATAATTAAGATGGATGAAGTATTTAAACAAGCTTGAATTATAGGATATAGAACATACAAAACTTGGTCTTCAAGGTCTTAGTTTCAAGCAGCCAATGTTGGTCTAGCATGAAGGGATAATTAAGATGGAATGACATTTTAAGTGTGACCGGTAATCATTGTTAAGGAGGGGACAGTGACCTGGTAATATAAGTTGTTCAACAAAACATCACACAGAGTTAAGGCTAGTTACTAAGGAGTTACTTATGCAGAGGCGGCACTAGTGTCTTATTTCTTGCACTAGGTTACTTAGGTTGTTGTGTGATGATAGTGGAATTATTGAGTGATGATAGCGGATTATTGAGTGATGATAGCAGATTTATTGAGTGATGATAGTGGATTTATTGAGTGAAATTAGTTAATTTGTTGATTGATGATAGTGAAGCTGTAAGGTGATGAGTTGTATAACACTTGTATCATCACAAAACAGTGAAGTTTTATCAATATGAGCCTAGCATATGTTTATCTGTGATACGCCTACTGCCGCAACACTAATACATTGTTTGTGTACAATATCCTTTGTATTTAAAATATTATTGAATTAAATAGAAATAGCATTATTGGGCAACAGCTTTAGACGGCAGAATAGTTGGCAACATTAATAATTGAAGATCACCGGCTGGACATGAAGCATATCTCTAGGCTTTCTTCTATAACTAGATGAGGATTTTACATAGGATTCTTATGTAAGAAAAAGTCTAATATAATTTGCATATAAGATATACTTGTTATCGATTGATCTAAAATTCTTCTCTGAAATTTATAGTGTTTTACTAGTGGTTGGCATAGTTTCTAGTAAAATTAGTTAAAACATAACTTGCTAGTGGGTGTCATGAGAGAAATGTTTTAGCATTAGCTCACATTGACATCATATTAGTTAGCATATTTGCTCACATTTAGTCAAGGTAATGAGGTGCACGTTATAGTTCTTTATTCTTCTGGTTGATCAGAACGAGTTATATCAAATTAACTTGGCAGGTGAAATTAATTCTAATTTTAGTTACTAAATTAGACTTAACTGTTACCATACTGTAGCAGCGGTAGCATTTGTGATGTAGTGTAGGCATTGTTGCTGGTAATATACATGTTATTAATGTCCATCCTGCTCATTCTTAAGTATCGGAAATAACCAGTTTTGCACTGTGGTTATCTGATTGATTTAGTCGCCCTGAGAAAGGGGAACATTTGTTCCAGATGATTCTATTCATATTTATCTTTTTCTTGACGTTTAGCTTAGTGATGATTTTGTGGGGTTTCTATGACAAGGTCGCACAGTACATGTTTTGAACACGTCTGGCTGGTGCGCTGCGTGTTCTGAACACGTCTGGCTGGTGCGCTGCGTGTTCTGAACACATCTGGCTGGTGCGCTGCGTGTTCTGAACACGTCTGGCTGGTGCACTGCGTGTTCTGAACACGTCTGGCTAGTGCGCTGCGTGTTCTGAACACGTCTGGCTGGTGCGCTGCGTGTTCTGAACACGTCTTGCTGGTGCGCTGAAGGTTCTGAACACGTCTGGGGCCATACTCTCAAAACTCGCTAAGTGAACGTAAGTACTTACGCTCTTTTTCTTGTCTATGATTGGTGGATTTTGCTTGAAAGGCCGTCTTTGATTTGCTGATGAACTTACGATCTTTTAACTTTTTATGAAAGTATAGGCCCTGGCTGGTACACTACATATTGCGACATTTCATCAGGTGCATCATTAACCATTTTTGGTGCTTCAACTGCCTCTAAGGAGCGACACTCCCAATACCTGGTGGTCTGTATAACTCGTATGTTTGTTCCTAATGGTGCTGCCTTTGATGCCCAAATTGCAGTAAAAGATCACCTGTTTCTGTGTGAGAGACGGAGGAATGTGATGCTAAATGCTCACTGAAGCTGTATTATAATGAATAAGTTTTTGAGGTTGTTGCGCTCACTTATTGTGTATAGTGAATCGTCATAGCATGATCCTTCGGGGCATGGATGCATCCCCAAGATGAGTGGTGGTTGTTTCCCCCCACTGGGGGAAGCCTTGTTTGTTCCTTATAATTCCTCACTGCAGTAATTTTGAGGTACCACTGAAGTGACTGAACTAACTAACTAATTGTGAGGTATGATTGTGAGGTGGGCGCTCTGCCTTGTTTTCATTTATTGTGATGGATTTAAATTCTTGAGCCATGGAAATGACTATTGTCGGAAAAATGGCGCGGTTCGCCATTGTGACTGTTGTCACTTGGTATTATCAAATATTATTATTGTTATTATATATTGTTCACGTTATCCATATGAAGATCACATATCCTCTCTTGCCCCGTACAGTTAGAGGGAAACCTAGCTCAACTAGAGGCTAGTACTCGTGTGATGTATATATTTATGCTACATGTATATATATTTCGGAGTATCTAGAGTGTTCTCATGAATGGTGCTCATGTTCTCTGAGGCCGTATATTATTATCTTATTATCTGACTTATTATCTCAGTTATTTTATCTCTTATTAATTATTAGTTGTGTACAGCTATGCTCTAATATCCAACACTGCTGAATAATTGTCTATTTATCCAGGATATTGTTCGCTTGTTTATCCAGGATATTGGATATGGTCTCTTGTTGTTTATCCAGGATATTGGATATGGTCTCTTGTTTATTCAAGATGTTGGATATGGTTTCATGTTTATCCAGGATATTGGATATGGTCTCTTGTTTATTCAAGATGTTGGATATGGTTTCATGTTTATCCAGGATATTGGATATGGTCTCTTGTTTATCCAGAATATTGGATATGGTCTCATGTTTATCCAGGATATTGGATATGGTCTCTTGTTTATCCAGGATTTTGGATATGGTCTCTTGTTTATCCAGAATATTGGATATGGTCTCATGTTTATCCAGAATATTGGATATGGTCTCATGTTTATCCAGGATATTGGATATGGTCTCTTCTTTATCCAGGATATTGGATATGGTCTCTTGTTTATCCAGGATTTTGGATATTGGTCTCTTGTTTATCCAGGTCTTTAGATCTCTTGACATTGCTTGTTGACTTCCAGGCATGTCTGCTGACAACTCGCGCGCTGCGTGTAAAAGTCCGTGCAATTTCACGTCTGCTTAGCCTGTGTACTTTGTATGGAGGTACGTGAGTGGCAGTCGGGCGTGTGTAGTTGTGGGGTAGGTGGCTGATGGGGTAGGTGGCTGATGGGGTAGGTGGCTGATGGGGTAGGTGGCTGATGGGGTAGGTGGCTGATGGGGCAGGTGGCTGATGGGGTAGGTGGCTGATATTAGGTGTGTAGTTAAGTTTGTAGACAATGGTCATATATGGGTGAGCCATAAATGACAATGGTCATATTGGCTGAGAGGTGAAGTTCGGCCAGGTAGTAGGAAGATGACGAGGTAGGTTGTTGGTGCTAAGCCTGGTAGAAGCTGGTGGTGGTAGAGCAAGTTAGTCATCTGAGTTAGTTGGCCTGGTAGGGAGGTGGAGGCAAGGTAGGTGTTAGGCCAGGTAGGGCTAAGTCTGGGCGCTGTTGAGCTCATGTTGCACGCTATTTCTTGCACTTCTTTGCTTAGATTAACTTAGTTCTTCTTGCAGTTCATTTATTGCTAATAACTCATAGTATTACATCGAATTTGTCTGCCATGACCGTACCTGTAGTGGTACTTTACGCTGGATGGGAGGAGTGGATGGTTCAGTGGTATTTTACACGAGATGGGAAGTGGATGGTTCTGGCTCATGGTTCCAGTGGTTCCTAACGTGAGATGGGGAGGATGATAACAAGACGGTTATTAGAAATTTTCAATAATTGAGACCTTCCAGCCTTGCTTGCTGGAAGGTCTCAATGTTGTTACATGAAGTGATGTTACATTTTTACAACCTGAGCGAGATTGCTTGATAGCTGCCCTAGCAAACTATGTCCTGGGATTATGGTTGGCTAGCTACCACGGTTATGTCCTGGGATAAGGTTTGGGAAAAGAATGTAGAAATTGGGACAAAAAATATAGTTGGGCCAGAAATTTGCACACTGGGAAAGGATTCAGTGGTTGGGACAGATATCTACGGTTGGGAAACGAGTCTGTTTGGGGCAAGATTTTATGGTTGGGACAGGAATCTGTATGCTGATTGGGAAATGATTTCGTGGTTGAAATCAGATCAATACCAGAAACTATGGTTGAGACAGAATCAGTGTTTGCGGTTGGTAATGGAGGGACAGTATTTGACCCAACTTTAAATCAAATTGTTTTTTTTTTTCGGTTGGAATTTGGAGAGAGAGAGAAAATGGCCCATGACTGGACAGAGCATGGATGTTGAACTGACGCATTCGGGGTGGTTGTCTTGTACCTAAAAACTTTAATTGTGTCAACACTCGTTTCGTGTACACTCTTCGACCTTGTTGGGAAAATTGTCCCAATTTCATACTGAGCTTTAATATTACACCCATCTTCTTCTTCTTCATTGCTTCGGCTTGTTTCTTCTTTGTAAGTCAAGGCCATCTTGTTTTTTGCTCTTCATATGCCCACATCTTTCTTCTAAATCATCATCTGACATTATCTCGTTTTTTAATCTTCATCTGACATTATCTTTTTTCTTAATCATCATCTGACATTATCTTCTTATTTAATCATCATCTGACATTATATTTTTACTTAATCATCATCATATATTTCTACTTGTTCGTCTGCCGACGCCATATTTGTTATTTTTAGTAAGTCGACGCAATTTTGTGGCCTGGTTGTTCCTGCAAAAAAATGAGACTTTGTCCAAGTAGTGATGCACTCTTTGCCCTTGTGTGGGTCATCGTGACCCAGTTTTGCCCGGCAAAAGGACGTATCAGAGCCACTTACAAAAAGTGTGCCACAATTTGGACAATATTACCCTTCCATTTTTTTGAGTGAATTGCCTTTTTTATATCTCGAGACACGCGCTTAAAGTTTGATGGAATAATAGATGTTATTTCATTTTTTTTGCATTCATTTCATTTTTTTTTATTATTTCATTTTTTATGAATTTCTAGTAGAAACGTTGCCATTGCATAATTATAGTCTGCGCTCGATTACGGTGTTTTATCTATAGGAAAAATGACATTAACGTATTGTAAAATTATGGCTTGATCATTATGAGGATGATAAATAATGATGTAAAGCTGCCTTGTTGCATGGGGTATAACATCATGTATTTTAACTGACTTATTACTCCTCTGGTTTGAAATATGTATGATATGTTAATATTTTTTGGTCATTCTAAATATTATTATTTGGAATGATTTATTTGTATTCTATAGATGATTACAGAGGTGTTTATTGATGGGGGATTGGGGGTGATCGGGAGGGAGGTGGGGGGCAGTGGGGGTGATTGGTGAGGAGGTGGGTGTTGTGGTGAGGAGGAGTGGGTGTATATCACCCAGCACTATCATGGCTCATCTAAAACAATCACTACAAGTTAACCACCCTTGTTTTACTATCCCGACGTATGTATTTACCAGTTTAATATATTAACACAGTTTGGACACTAAAAGCTGCATTGCGGCAAGAGCTGCATTGAGCTGAATAAATATTACGTGCGCTCCCACGGTTCCTGACGTATGTTCTATCACTATTATATAGGGAAGTTTATTATATTAATCAAGAGTTTAATTAATTACAATTAATATTATTACGGCAAGAGCTACATTGAGCTGAATAAATATTGCGGGCGCTCCCACGGTATCGTCATCGGGATTTGCTACCCAAATCACGACCGGAAGTCTGGTATGACACACGAGCCTGACGCACACCTGGCGATCGAGGGAGGGGCAGACATGCATGCAACCACGAGTTTATGCATAAAAATTATATTCAAAGCCTCGAAAAGAAAATTTATATGTTGATTTAAAAGGTTTATGAGTAATTTCAAGATAGTTTAGTTAAATAATGCTAACTGTTGTTGTTGTTAAAAAATGCAATATATTTATTGCACCGGGAAATTTTGAATATCCGTTGGAGAAGATATTGTTTACAAGTGTTTACAAATTAGCGCACAAGTTAATGAATATATCTGAAATGAGCTGTTTTTCAAGCTTAACCCGCATTCATGACTTCAATAAATATAGATGAGCTTCTTTTTGTTAATTCGCTTTATGCTGCATTTATCTATGATCACATGCTGAGATAAGTGCGGTGAGATAACGCATCTCTGACATTATTGGAACCGAAGCGGCTCGTAACTTTCAGTACACTGGCAACCATGGCGGCGGAAGGTAGTGCTAATTTTACGGACGAACAGATTGAAGAGCTCTGTGAGACGTTCAAAACGGTAAGTCTTGACATCGACCCCTGTACTTAACCCTTTAATAAATATCAAACTGAGTTGAGGTATACGAGGCGATGGTGAATTCTTCTAGTGTTATTGTTAAACAAACAAAGAGTGTCACGCCTTCAAATGCCATTCAGCCCATTGCATGACGCAGTCATGTCTATTACGCACACACATGGCCGTGTGCTGCAGATAACAGCCGCTATGCCCTGTGTGTGTGTAGCTGTATTTATTAACAAGAACCTTTCCAGTCACCGTGACTGTGAATGTTTGAATCTAAGATGTCGTGGGTCTCCATAATCCTTGTGGTGGGGACATGGTCTGGGATTGGGAAAGCCCACGGAATGCAGAAATGAGAGCATATGACGTGTAAAATTGAGTAGCTCTTAGTCTCGTAGTCGCGCTATCTGTTGGCTAAGCATTATTATTATCTACTTGAATATCTATAAAGTATTTTTCCGGCTGCCTTGTGACCGGCATTATTTACCACAAATTGTCTGTATGGCTGTAACTTCTGTTTCTAGCATCCCAAGCAAGATAAACTATGCTCATTAAATGATTTGTCATATTAAATTAAGTATTAAATTAACTAGCTAGGTAAGCCAAGTTAGACAATTTAATTGCTTAATTGCTTAGGTAAGGTTATTAGGCTAAAAATGTTACCAGTATCTTTGAGTATTGGTTGCCAGAATTACTAAAATCTTGCAATAAATATATCTTGCAGGACATTTGAAGACAAATTTAATGCCAAGATCTTTTAAAGATAAAGATTTTGATGGCTTGATGCTAATGTGTTGTACAAAAAATCTTTAAATATTTGCTTACATTCTGCAGTGACAAAACTGAAGAATTAGACAGTAACTGCCTATCAATCAGACGAAAATATAACTCCAGTACTCACTGCAGTCTGCAGTGAGTGACAGAGAGCGCATTTTATCGTTGACAAAAACTTGAGGTCACGGACAGACGGACATGGCGAGCACATGAATAGTGCATTTTTTCCATAAATGAGAAATGCGCTAAAAACTCGCATGAATTTGGCTAATTTCACTCATTCCAATGGCCTTGCCCAATTTGTTTGATGAAAAGATATAAAAAATTGCATATCTTAATCTGAATTCTGAAAGTTTTGAAAATGTCATGAAACGATTGTACTAGCTGGCAGCTGCGATTTTATAGAAGTTCTGCCTGATATTCCAGATTGTTGCACCAGTGCTTCCCAGTGCAAAATAATGATGCTAATTTAATTTTTTTAATAAGGGTGGAATTTGAAAGGAGTAATAAACAAGGACATACATATCATTTTGTATAGGAAGTCATAAAACTGGATTTTCCCTCAATAACTTTTAGGATTGAGCAAGTGCTCCATCTGATCTGCATTGATATATGATATGAGACACTATTTTTAACATTCCATTTCTTGGAATTCAAGATTAATGGTAATACATTTAGTCATTCAGATGTTTAAATTTTCTAATTTCTAAGCCATGACTGCAGTTTTCATAGGTACAATTTTTGTTAGCCTTGGTAATTCTGCTATTTCAAATTTTACTTTTCTGACACAAAATCTTTGTTTGGGTCTTTACATGTTCATTAAAATTATCAGATTCAAAAGTGGCCAAATGTGCTTTTTGACAATAAAAAAGTTCAATCAATAATCATGTTAGACTGACTGACTGAGTGAGTTTAACAATTGAACTTTGATGTAGGAAACTAGAAAGAAATGCATCGTTATTGGGACAATATGACTGCTTCGAATTGGAATGTTATAGCTTTCCTTTTAAAGGAAAATACAAATTAATATCCTAGGTTTCAAAATGGGTTCATGGGTCAAAAACAAACTTGCAGATTGGTTGAAAATTTATGGCTGCCAAATTCATAACATCAATAAACTCAATCAAAAATCAAGTGATTATTTGGAAGGCTGATATTTATGTTTTATACATTCATACCCTGAGTTGAAGTGGGAGTTAAGAGCTATAAGGTTGAATAATGTATTTTATGAAATACAATTTTCAATGCTACAATTTGAAGTTAGTCTAGTTTTATTTAAGACTCAAAAGTATTCAAGTAAAAGATTAAACACTTGGCATGTAATTTGAAAGATTTTTCTTTACTAGATTAATTTGATGGCTTAAAATTAATTAGCAATTTTTATTTGTAACTTGAAACAAGTAGAGAGAAGTTCTAACATCTTAGTGGCTGGGGTGCCATACCCCAGCCGTGCCCATATTTCAATTAATTAATTTAATATTAATTCATTAATCAAGTCATTAGTTAACTGCATGATTGAGCTGCAAGTTTAGAGATTTAAACACAATACTTTATTCAGGAGCAACAGGTTTTGGGATTTCATAAAATGTTATGGTGAACTTTGAGATTTGTAATTTCAAATAAATTCTCTATTTAGCCTCTGATATTTGCAATTTGGGCAGAGAACTTTGGAGGCATGAAATTCTGGTAAAAAATAAATTTCATTGGATTGTAAATTATTAATATTATGTGAAGCAACAACATGAATAGTTACGACATATCATTATGAGTTAAGAAAGTGTCTTAAGTCAGCTAAATTACACATGATGATTTTTCACTTGTGTCCAAAATTCTTTAGATTTAGCATTTAGTTGAAAATATTTGTCTTCAAGATATGAAAAAGGGAGTAGAAGATGTTGCCAGTTTGTTGTGGGTGATGTTGCAGTGTTGTACTGCAAGGTTACATATAGGTTATGTATCAGGGTTGCACACCAGGGTTACATATCAGGATTGCACATCAGGGTTGCACATCAGGGTTGCACATCAGGGTTACATGTCAGAGTTGCACGTCAGGGTTGCACATCAGGGTTGCACATCAGGGTTACATGTCAGAGTTGCACGTCAGGGTTGCACATCAGGGTTGCACATCAGGGTTTGTCAGGGTTGCACGTCAGGGTTGCACGTCAGGGTTGCACGTCAGGGTTGCACATCAGGGTTGCAGAGCTCGACAGCTCTCGACAAATCATATTCAGCGCTATCTTCTTATCTGATAAGGAAATAACAACTGATAGATAAGAGCGCCTGAAGAAGACGATCCCAAGCTTATGTCGAGGAAACGATGTCTATACATGACCTGCATATGCTTTATTTATGCGTTATGATAGTTCGATTTTATAACGAACTGTTTCGTTATTATAACTGTACCAGAAATGCTAGGGATTTTGTGCTGTGGTGATATATATGGCCACCACAGCACTTGCGGCCACCACAGCACTTGCGACCACCACAGCACTTGCGACCACCACAGCACTTGCGGCCACCACAGCACTTGCGACCACCACAGCACTTGCGGCCACCA